GACCGGGGAAGACCAGAGACAAGGACACGGGAGGCCATGCCTCGGAGACGAGGCAGGGAGGGGTGACCAAGGCGGTGGTGCCAAAGGAGAGTCTCGTGAGACAGGAGGCGACACGAGCAGGGGGCAGACTCAGGACCAGACCTGGACGTTGCAGCTAACACCTGACCTGACACAGCTACCTGACCAGACGCAGGGACAAGAAGAGACTCAGTGGTCAGGGTGTAGAGGCTCGACCCCGGCTGATGCGTAAACGTGGCCAGGTGCCGGCCTGTGCGAGCGTCCGAGCAGTGGGTCACCCGCTGACTCGCAGGAGTAATCTGGTGAACCCCCGCATCCTGTAGGTCAGCACCACTCACCAAGTTCGTAGAGAACAAGGGAAGGTAAAGACCAGACAAGGTGCCAAAGGGGGCAGCCGGACACGGGAGGACAGTGGAGAAGTGAGAAAGGACAGGATCCCCAGAGGGGTCTGCCAGGGAGACCGCAACCGGCCGACCAAGCGGCGTGAGTGTGGTGCGGTCTTGAAAGAAAGAGCGACAAGCCCCTGAGTCAAGTGTGAAGGTGAGGGAGGCCGAAGCCGACGCGGTACCTGAGAGCGCAGACTCACCAGCACCTGAGGATGCAGACGCACTGGCACCTAGAGCAGCAGCCTCACTGGCACCTAGAGTTGCAACCTCACCAGTACCTAGAGCAGCAGTCTCAATGCCCGGGTCGGGCGGGAAACACTGGTAACAGTCACCCTCATCACTAATAGTCACAGCATACATGGCAGCAAGAATAGCATCAAATTCAACATCAAAGATTGCTACACCCGCCCTAGACAGCTCACTCCAGCGGGGGATCTCAGTGGCCTCCGGGAACTGGTGACGCCAAGCGTCCGTCAAGCGGCCAAAGCAGCGCTGGGTGGGGTGTGCACCCCCACACTGCTCACCCGCACAGTCGCCGGTGCGTAGGACGTAGGTGCACGGACCAGAACCCCCACCACGCTGACGTGCAGCGTACCACTCACGGAGCTGCTGAGGGGGGGGGATGTCCCGAGAACGCTGCTGCTGCTGCTGCTGCTGCTGCTGCTGCTGCTGCTGCTGCTGGCGCTGACCACCACCGGAGCCGCTCCACTGCGTAGCGCCACCCCGACCTGCTCCACCTCCTCCACCACCGCCTCCTCCACCTCCGCCACCACCGCCGCCTCCGCTCCCACCGCTACCGCCTCCGCCGCCTCCGCGTCCACTGCCGCCACTGACACCTCCACCCCTGCCACCACTCCCACCGCCACCCCCACTCCCTCCGCCGCCTCCACCGCCGCCTCCACCACCCCCGCTAGCTCCTCCCACGCCCTTGCCCCCCTTGCCCTTGCCAGAGCGGCGTCTCCTGCTAGGGGCAGACGCCGCACCGACCGACTCAAGACCAACGAGGTCGGCCGCAGCAGCAAAGGCGATAGAGGGCAAAAGGGGGGAAGGGGAACACCCCTCAAAGATGGGGGTGCGAGGGTCACCACGAGAGGCTCCTACAGCGACTATGCTCTTCTCCACTGCTAAGAGGGCCTTCTCGAGGAGGTCAACAGTGAGAGTGGTGGGACAAACTGAGAAGAAGTGGTCTCTGACTACACGAAGGGAGTCACGGAGGCGGGTGACTATGTAATAGAGAGTGATGTACATTGGGGGGGGGGGTTCTTGGCGCGGAACTCAGCATGAAGCGCAGCGCGGTAGCGAGTGTCACTAGTGCGGAGGTGCGTGATGAGGTCAGCGACTGTGGGAAAGGCAGTAAGGTCAGGGAAGAGGTACGGTAGCATGAGGCGGCTCAGTGCAGCAGTGGCAGGGGAAGAGTAGCGCGCAACTAAAGCGTCGTACAAGGTCTGAGCACTCTTGTACTGACTAAAATGTGCGCCCTCATTGGTAGGCAGGTGGCAACGCACAGCAAGACGTATAGCAGCATCGCGAGTGGCCCACTGTGAGCGAACAGTGGCGTCGGCATCGGCAGCAGGGGCAGGGGAGGCACCAGAGGTGAGGTCAAAGAGGGAGAGACCGTCTGCCCTATCGCACTGTAGGAAAATCTGCAGGTCATCTACCCAGACGTCAAAGTCAATGGCCCGACCTTCAGCATCAAAAGCGAGAACACTGGGGGTAGCCATGACAGCAGTAGACTAGTAGCGCTAACTGTAGGGCAGGGGCAGTGCAGTGACAGAGGCGCTGCTCTCTCCAGACAGACGGTTCGGGCAGCTCGGCAGCAGAGCAGCTCGGCAACACGGCGGCTCGAGCGACTCGGGCGGCTCGGCATTAACTGCGGCTCGGCGGCACCCGCTGCTCGGCTCCTCAGCTGCTCAGGCGACTCGAGCGGCTCGGGCGGCTCGAGCGGCTCGGGCGGAACGGGCGGCTCGGGCTGCTTAGCGGTGCGGGCGACTCGGCTGCGTAGGGCGTCAGAGCCGCTGGTAGGGCGGCGGGGCCGCTGGTAGGGTGGCGGGGCCGCAGGTAGGGCAGCGGGGCCGCAGGTAGGGCGGCGGGGCCGCAGGTAAGGTGGCGGGGCCGCAGCAGCAGGCGACGGGGCCGCAGGTAAGATGGCGGGGCCGCAGCGAAGGGCGGCGGGGCCGCAGGTAGGGCGGCGGGGCCGCAGGTAAGGTGGCGGGGCCGCACCAGAGACGACGGGGCCGCAGGTAAGGTGGCGAGGCCGCAGCGAAGGGCGGCGGGGCCGCAGGTAAAGGGCGGCTGGGCCGCAGATAAGGTGGCGGGGCCGCAGGTAAGGTGGCGGGGCCGCAGGTAAGGTGGCGTGGCCGCAGGTAAGGCAGCGGGGCCGCAGGTAAGGCGGCGGGGCCGCAGGTAAGGCGGCGGGGCCGCACATAAGGGCGGCGGGGCCGCTGGTAGGGTGGCGCGCCCGTAGGTAGGTGGGAGGGTCGCAGGTGAGGGCGGCGCAAGGGCCGCAACCGGCCGCTGAGAGTGGCGACGGGCCGAGTAAGGGCGGCGCGAGGGATGCCGCTAGGGGCGACGCGACTAGGCCGGAGGAGGCCTAGTACGAGCGCGTCAGTAGAGAGGGCACACGAGGCGCGACTCGGGCCTAAGCGAGGTGCGCTACGGGCAGAAAAAAAAAAAAAAAATCGACTTGGTGAGCCTTAGGAACAGTTCCCACGAGGGAACCTGCTCTATACCATGAGAAGAAACGATAATGACTGCACTAAGGAATGAAACTGGTACAAACATGCAACCCTAGGAATGTGTACCCCATATGGGCTACCCCACTACAGCCTACACAACATTAAAATTTGACAGTCAGTACCCCGATGGTCGCCCTGACTTACCATAAGAACGCAACTACAATGCCTAAGCTAATCGGTTACGTCGACGCAGATCACGCGGGCGACTCCGACAACAAACGATCGTGCACTGGCTACATCTACCGCTTCGAGCCTATCGGACCTATCTCCAGGCAATCGAGCAAGCAGGAATTAATTGCTCTCTCGTCACCTGAAGCAGAATATATTGCACTCTGCTCAGCCACCAAGGAAGTACTCTACCTTAGCGGAGTTACCAAAATTTACCCTGTTCTGCGACAACCAATCGGCAATTCGCATCGCCAACAAGAACGGCTTCGCGAACAGGGCGAAACACATCACCCTGCCATATTTCTTCGTGAAGGACGAGATCGAGAAGGGAAGGCTCGAGCTGTCATACCGTCCCACGTCCGAGATGGCAGCTGACTACCTGACCAAGAAGCTCGGAAAGCGAAGTTCGAATACTGCATGCTGCTGACTGGACAGAGCCACGCCAGCAACACTCCAGAAGCGAAGGGGAGTGTTGGAAACAATCGGTCCTAAGTGCCTCTGTCGTGTCGAAACACTAAGGCACAAGCAAAGCAAAGCATATCGAGGCACCCGCGAGTCAACCCTCGGAGGTTGAAGTAACCGCTGGAGGTTACGCGAAAGTCAAAGGTCAGCGACCTTTGACCTCTCAAGTACAGCGCGATAGCAAGGACACACAACTGACTCGCTACAGAGTGGTTGCCCGAGTCGTCACTGTATCGAACCGCAACAGCAACAGTAAAGAAGTTATAACTGTATCTCTTCGCATTCCTTGTACTCTTATATAATCCTGTACATCCTTGCTTTCATCAACTTACTTTGCCCTCACATACTAGCGCAAGGTGGTTCACAACTCTTTATTAACGCTTCCGCTACTACACCAACTCTACCCAGAGTTCACCCCTGCAAAGATCCTAAGGGCTTTTTCAGCCCAACACACTGACACCACTCAACTGTTAGGGCCTGCTGTTACTTGCTGATGTGAATACCAAGCACACCATTAAGGAGCCTCAGAAATCCTCCTACCACCACAAAAAGTGCACTGATGGTTCTTGCAGCTGTCAATTCATGCTTGTAAAATGAACTCTTGATGGATGGATGGAACATTACAAAAGCATTCACTCTACAGCCTGAAGTAGCTGCACGTATTTACAAGAGCAGCTGCATGCAAGAATGGTGCTTCTGCAATGTTCCCCCACCATCTCTCAATCATCATCCATATCCCTTTTCAACCATATTACAACTTCCCACCAATCACTCTCCCTGAGAGCGCCCCGTCAGCACCGGAGAATCCGAGGAACAGGTCATCATTGGTGATCCCTTGGATCGATGCCAGCACATCCGCCACGTCAGCAGCTGACGCCCTCACGACATTGGCCAGCGACCAGGACACCGGGCTCATGGGCACCCACGTGCCAGGCAGGGCGAGGGCTGCTGAAGCAGCAGCGGTGCCGCAGGCGTTGCCCTTGAAGATGGCCTGCGAGTCCGGGGCCTTGGTCACTCCTGCTGCGTACAGGTAGTATGTGAGCAGATAGTCCGAGCCACTGCATTGGGGGAGGAGGAGGGAAGGTGGAAGGAGATGAGGGAAGGGAACACGGTTTAACATTGAGCCGACAAGGGCAAACGTGATTCAGCAGGATTCAACAAGGCTCAAGTAATCGATGTAGCAGGATTCATCAAGTCAACGGGTCAACTCGAGCCAACGCGAGTGACTCACATCTTGAGGATCTGAATGTCAGCAGCGCCGGCTTGGAGAGACAGCAGGCCGTTGCATGACGTCAGCACGGCACGCAGCATGCCCGCCTGCTGGGGCAGAAGATTCGCGACTCTGAGAGCTCCGTTGAGAGCGCCGTTGAGAGCGGAATTCAAGGCGTTGAGCATCCCGGCGAGCGCGGACACGTTCCCGTTGAGCCCCGCGACCCGCTGCGTCACAGCTGCCAGCCGCTGCCTCACCGCCGCGCGGATCGCCGCGTTCCGACTCGCGTAAGCCGCTGTGGTGGCTGCACTCGACACGCCCGCCAAGCCTACGCGCGAGCCTGCGCCCGAGCCTACGCCCGAGCCGATTATTCCTGCCAGGTCCTTGTTCAGAGCGGCGATGCCGATGCTGATCGATGAGATGTTGGATTGAAGGCCGGAGATCTGGGAAATCAGATCCGTGAAGTTCAGATTCGACCCTGAGATGTTAAGCGCGTTTAGATTAACGAGGCTGGCGTTTAAAGCGGCGAGGTTGGCTTTCAGCGCGGATATTTGCGCCTGGAGTGCGGCGTCTGCGGAAGCGTCGCTGTTGAGGGCCGCCGAGATCTGATCGAGCGATTTCTTGAGAAGCGCGTCGAGAGACGCGATCTGGCCGTTGAGGGACGACTGGAGGCCCGAGAGCGTCGAATTGAGCGCCGCTGCGGGGCTGCTGCTGCTCGCTGCTGCGGCTGCCGCGGCGATGGCTGAATTCAAGCCGGGTGGAAGTCGGTTGGTGGGTAGACTGCCGACGCCCGGGAGAAACCGGCCTGCTTCGACTCGTTGTGTTGCCAAAAGCACTGCAAATATTCAAAAAGAGGAGTGATGAGTTTCGGAGCACGAAAGGCAACTGACAACGCTATTACGCAACGGAAACGGCTTGAATGTTCAGTGCTGAAAACCGCGCTTTGCAAACACTCCTGGAGGTGGCTCACCTGTGACGAGGAGAGCAACAAGCCCTAGCGTGAAAGGTGCTGCAGTGCGCGCCATGATTGCCGAGCTAGGACGCGAAATACGCGGAGCTACTAACAGAAGTGCTAACTGGTGAGCTATCTCGGGAAGTATCACTTTGAAATGTGAGACGAAACGAAAGGCGCAGTGAGCAGCGCGTAATTAGAATTGAGGACGGAGGGAGCAATGTACGTGAGTGTGCTGTTTTGAGAGTATAATTCAATGCAGAGGCTAATTTGAGAGTCGATGCCCTTTCGGATTTCTCCTGCTCGATTTATACATTTCTGATCTGAGACAGTGGTGGTCTGGCCTTTCTGCATGAGGAAGTCGGGTTGGATCTGGAAATTCGGGAATTTCAGCGCGGACCGCGGATTGCGTGTCTCTGATTGGTTTATCCGCTGCCGTCGAGTCGCACGCGGGGAGGCTAGAGAGCGGTGCTGCTGCTGCTGAGGCATGGTCGGACGAAGGTGAGAGAAATTCTGTACAGTAGGCGGTGCTGTGCTGTGTGGTGTGAATTAGATGGTGGTGAAGGGGCAGAGCCAACCAGCCAACTAGAGCACATCGGCGAAACGCCAACGAAATTCAGTTGACGGGGTTTCGCTTCAAGGTCGAACGCGTTGCCGATGTACAACTACAAGTACAAAAAAACTAAAAGTTCCTTGGGGCCTTCATCAGGGGGAATACGGCACTGCAGCGGCTGTATGCCCTTTCCCCCTCAAACCTACACCATGCTGAGGCCCTTGCGCTACTTTGATGCAGGCTTGAGTGTGATTATAAGGAATCCTGCGGGGTCGAATTTTGCCCCGATCACCTTCCCTTGAACGGCTCGAGGCAGCTCCACACACCGCCTTTGGTCCCCCGCCTCTACCAGCAGCTCTGCCCCGCCCTTCCACTGGTGATGGGTGGGTGGGGGGGTAATGGGGAGAAGGAATTGGGGGAACTTGGCATGCGTATGACACGATAACCTTCCCCTGGAGAATGCCTCAACAGCTCCACGCACCGCCACTGGTCCCCAGCCTCTACCAACAGCTCTGCCCCGCCCTTCCACTGGTGATTGTCTGGTGAAGGAGGGGAACGAGGGGAGGAGAGGAGTGAAGGGAGGAAAAGGGGGAAGAATAGGCAATCAGCGGGCATGTTATTGCCACACCGGCTCACCTGCTGCTTCTGAACCTCTTATCTGTCGAATTCCCAAAGCGTTGGTCATTGGGAGTCAACCAAGATGAGGAAGGAAAAGCGCATAAGAGGAGGGCGTATCTTGAACCATGGTGGAAATATGTGTAAGAACCAAACCAACTCACCTGCTGCTTCTGAACCTCTTACTTGTCGAACCCCGAAAGCGTTGGTCATTGAGAGTCCAAGTGCATCAAGATGAGGAAGGGAAAGCGCATAAGAGGAGGGCGTATCTTGAACCATGGTGAAAATATGTGTAAGAGCCAAACCGACTCACCTGTTGCGGCTTGACCTCCGGCTTGCCGAATCCCGGCAGAATGGCATTGAGTGTCAACCAAGAGAAGCAAATAGTATGGATGAACCCTAAAGAAAATATCAATGCCAACCCGACCCAACACCACTCACCTGTTGCAGCTTGACCTCTTGCTTGTCGAATCCCGGCAGAAAAAGACGAACCGTGCACGCCGCCACGTCCACGTCCACCGCCGGAGGAGCCTTCCCCGCGCCTTCCCCGTTCATAACCGCCACCGCTCCATCGCTCATCTGCCCGGCTGCGGCCGCTACAGCCGCCGGTGCCTCCTCTGTCACCACGGGCAGTTGTCCCACGGGCAGCGGAGAAAACTTTTCTGCCAGTCCCCCTTCCCCAGATGCTACCTCCGATGGGAGTAGGAAGACGCCTGAAGGGGACACGCCTGCCTGCACTGCGCAGCCCCAGATGCGGCGACAGGTGTCGACTGATGAGTGGCTCGCCGCATCGGCCAATAGGAAGACGGACGTGCGGTAGGGGTCTGCGAATGCTGAGACGGCTTTCTGAGGGGTTGGGAGGGGCAGGTAGGGTGGGAGAAGGGATGACGGGCGAGCGAGAGGGGCGGACGGAGAGATTAGGGAAACGAGTTGGGGGTTGCTGTTGTGATATGGTTCAAAAAGCTTTCTGATGTGCCGGGCCCCCAGACTCACAGAGAGGAAGGAGTCAACAGTCTCTACATCAGCACTCACAGAGAGGAAGGAGTCAACAGTCTCTACATCAGCACTCACAGAGAGGAAGGAGTCAACAGTCTCTACATCAGCACTCACAGAGAGGAAGGAGTCAACAGTCTCTACATCAGCACTCACAGAGAGGAAGGAGTCAACAGTCTCTACATCAGCACTCACAGAGAGGAAGGAGTCAACAGTCTCTACATCAGCACTCACAGAGAGGAAGGAGTCAACAGTCTCTACATCAGCACTCACAGAGAGGAAGGAGTCAACAGTCTCTACATCAGCACTCACAGAGAGGAAGGAGTCAACAGTCTCTACATCAGCACTCCCACCCCTCCCACCACCACGACCAGCACCCCCCTCCCCGCCCCCCCCCCCCCCCCCCCTTCACCACGACCAGCACTCCCAACACAGAGAGTTTTGAAACGCTGCCCGCTCAGACTCAGAGTCAGGAAGAGTCGAGCTTCTCCCATATCTCCGCCGTGCTGCGCTGCCCATCCTCCCCACCACTCCCACCACCCCCATCGCTGCTACTCCCACTGCCCCCTTTGGAGGAGGCACAAGCTTTGGAGTCCAGCAGGGCCAACTTCGGTCACAGAGGGCAGAGCCGCACCTCTGCTCCTATTGCACCTCTGCTCCTATTGCACCTCTGCTCCTATTGCACCTCTGCTCCTATTGCACCTCTGCTCCTATTGCACCTCTGCTCCTATTGCACCTCTGCTCCTATTGCACCTCTGCTCCTATTGCACCTCTGCTCCTATTGCACCTCTGCTCCTATTGCACCTCTGCTCCTATTGCACCTCTGCTCCTATTGCACCTTTGCTCCTATTGCACCTCTGCTCCTATTGCACCTCTGCTCCTATTGCACCTCTGCTCCTATTGCACCTCTGCTCCTATTGCACCTCTGCTCCTATTGCACCTCTGCTCCTATTGCACCTCTGCTCCTATTGCACCTCTGCTCCTATTGCACCTCTGCTCCTATTGCACCTCTGCTCCTATTGCTCCTCTGCTGCTATTGCACCTCTGCTCCTATTGCTCCTCTGCTGCTCCTATTGCACCTCTGCTCCTATTGCACCTCTGCTCCTATTGCACCTCTGCTCCTATTGCACCTCTGCTCCTATTGCACCTCTGCTCCTATTGCACCTCTGCTCCTATTGCACCTCTGCTCCTATTGCACCTCTGCTCCTATTGCACCTCTGCTCCTATTGCACCTCTGCTCCTATTGCACCTCTGCTCCTATTGCACCTCTGCTCCTATTGCACCTCTGCTCCTATTGCACCTCTGCTCCTATTGCACCTCTGCTCCTATTGCACCTCTGCTCCTATTGCACCTCTGCTCCTATTGCACCTCTGCTCCTATTGCACCTCTGCTCCTATTGCACCTTTGCTCCTATTGCACCTCTGCTCCTATTACACCTCTGCCATGACCCAAGAGTGAGGTGCCGTGCCGTGCCGGTACTCACAGAGAGGAAGGAGTCGAGCTTCTCCCATATCTCCGCTGATGAAGGCTTGTTTGTACTGATGAAGGCTCGCAAGAGCCGAAACTAGTTTACTCAAGTTCTGACTTCAAGATTCCGTTTTCGTTCAAACTGGCCTACTAAAATACGATCTAGCATACAAGCTTAAACCAGGCTTCCCACTTTCACCTCATGGAGTTTGTTTCGCCGTCTCAATAACATCCAAGTTGATGGACGTCAGACCTCCGCAGCCCACCTGTTTACTAATAACAGTACTCACAGAGAGGAAGGAGTCGAGCTTCTCCCATATCTCCGCCGTGCTGCGCTGCTCGTCGGATGCAACCCCACCGCTCCCGCCGCTCCCACCACTCCCCCCTTTGGAGGAGCCAGCAATGGAGTCGAGTAGGCGGGCCATGGAGGGCAGAGAGGAACTCACAGAGAGGAAAGAGTCGAGCTTCTCCCATATCTCCGCTGTGCTGCGCTGCCCATCCTCCCCACTTCCACCAGCATTCCCACCACTCCCACCACTCCCCCCTTTGGAGGAGCCAACAATGGAGTCGAGTAGGCGGGCCACGGAGGGCAGAGCCACACGCCCGATGTCTGTCCGCTCTGCTAAGGCACGGAACCTCCTCAGATACCACCTGGCTCGGATGGGTTGAGTTGGTTTGGGATGGATTGGTGGGACGGTGGTGTTACCACCTGATCTAATCTGGGCCTGTAAACCACATTTCTTCACTGCACATCATCACATTACACCAATTAACACCGCATTACACCGCACTAAACCATGCTTCACCTGGCTTTCTCTGGGCTAGCCAGCATGCGCAGCACCTCCCAAGTAGTGGCCCCGTCAAACACCACCACCTCTGCCTCCCCTTCACCCCACGGGTACACCCACTCCCCCACTGCTGCTGCTGCTCTGCTACCGCTTAGATCCCAGCTAACCACATTGCACCGCACATCACCACATGTCACCACATTCCACCGCACTAAACCACGCCTCACCTGGCTTTCTCTGGGCTGGCCAGCATGCGCAGCACCTCCCAGGTGGTGGCCCCATCAAACACCACCACCTCCGCCTCCCCCTCCCCCCACGGGTACACCCACTCCCCTGCTGCCGCTCCTTTCTTCCCTGCTGACGTGGCCCGCGGCCCGGATGACGTGGCAAAGGCCAGCAGGCCGCCAGCTGGACGTGCGATGCGCTCGAGGACAGCGACTGCCATGACGGCGTCCATGCCAGGTAGGACAGACAGCTCCTCGCCCACCACCTGGCGCAGGTGCGGGTTTGTGGGTGGTGTGAGATTTAGGCATGTGTGAGGGTGAAGGATGAGGGTAGTGCATGACTGCGACTGCCATGACGGCGTCCATGCCAGGTAGGACCAACAGCTCCTCGCCCACCACCTGGAGGGGTGGAATTCGGTGTCGGGAATTCATGAGTGTGAGGCTGAGGGATTGTCGGGATGGTTCCTCCCAAGTAGGACTGCGATTGCCATTACCACGTCCATGCTAGGTAGGACCGACAGCTCCTCGCTCACCGCCTGTTATGGTGATGGCATGGCGATGGCATGGTGATGGCATGGCGATGGCATGGTGATGGCATGGTGATGGCATGGTGATGGCATGGTGATGGCATGGTGATGGCATGGTGATGGGATAGTGATGGCATGGTGATGGGATGGTGATAGCATGGCAAAGATTAGGGGTTTGTGATGCAGGAATGTGGTGCTGGCTGGGGTGGTCATTTCACCAAGACTGCGACTGATGTGACCGCGGGAATGCCAGGCAGCACTGAGAGATCTCCTTTCTAACAACCTAGCGTGGGTATGGGTGAAAAGTTGTGGTTTGTGGTTACGATTGGTTACGATTTTGATTGTGCTCTGGTCGCTCAACCGACTCTGCATCTGCCATGCCTGCGTCTGCGATGTTGAGTTTACTTTTGAGAATTTCCAAAAGTAAACTCAGCACGTCTGCATCACCGCCTGGCAGCACAGCCAGGCTTATGGACAGCCGGAAGTCTGGAGCTTGCAACTCATGCGTTTTTAGCTGAGTCGATGTTTGAGTCGACTCAAAAACAGAGTTTGCAACTCATTCGTTTGTGGCTGAGGGATGCGGTTTGTTTTTTTGAGTCAACTAAGAATTAGATTTACTACAGGCTGATGGACAGCCGGAAGTCTGGAGCTTGCAACTCATGCGTTTGCGGCTGAGGGATGTGTGATTGAGAATCAGAGGTTGAGAGGGGTGTGTGATTCATTGATGTGCGTGGTTCCAGTGCTATGGTCGTCTGGACGAATAACATTTCAGAAGATTCCTCACATCACCCTCACCAACCGTCACACTCATATTCCCACCCTCACAATAGTCACACTCGTGTAGCCACACTCACCAACAGTCACACTCGTACAATCACACTCACCTCTGCCAGTGCGCCTTGTGTGATCCCCAGTCGCTCGTCCGCCTTCTTTATGATCTCAAGGGGCGCCAGAAGCAGCTGACACGGAAAGAACGGCAAGAAAGGGAACAGGTATGAAGGGAACAGTTTTATGAATTGAGGTAAGAATGGGAACAGCATTGAAGACATGAAAAAGGAAAGGAAACAGTACAGAGAGGAAACAGGCCGAGGCAAAAGAGAAAAGCAGGAAAGGAAAGTGTCAAGGGGACAACTTGCTGATTGCTTCTCGAAGGTCAGTGGCAGTAGAGAGGGAATGAAAGGACTAGGTACCGGGGGAGAGGGGGCACGAGTGGAATGACGGGAAGGAAGTTGGACGAGCAGAGACGGCAGGCAGGCGTGAGAGAAAGAGGGAAAGCCAGTATATATTCGCAGATTATGGTGCAAGACTGAATCTTGACGCGAATGGTGCTCTATACATCAGCAATGAATCCCTGTGAGGTTGCCGTTTTCAGTGGTTGGGTTGAGTCTGGGCTGAATGTACCTTGGTGGTTTCCACACGAAGGGCACAAAGCAGTGGCGGCTGGGAGGCATCAGCAGCAGCAGCCGCAGCAGCAGCAGGCACGGGCACGGGTTGGGGGCTGGGTGTGAGGCGCATGCCCAACAGGCGATCAGCCACTCTGTCCTGTGACTGCACCACCAGACACGTGCGGTACCCTGCTGCTGCATACCGCTGGGTATGACAGTTGGGAGTGAGGAGTGGGGGGAGAGAGGAGTGGGTGGAGCATAGATCGGTCTTGATTAGCTGTGGGTGTAGCTGATGTGGTTCGTGTGGGCTATGCAAGCGATTGACCAGCATGCCCAGCAGCCTGTCCGCCACTCTGTCCTGTGACTGCACCACCAGGTGACTTTTGAGTCGACTCAAAAGTCACCTTGTAGCTGATGTGGTTCGTGTGGGCTATGCAAGCGATTGCCCAGCATGCCCAGCAGGCGGTCGGCCACTCTGTCCTGTGACTGCACCACCAGACACGTGCGGTACCCTGCTGCTGCGTACCGTTGGAAAGCAGTGGGGAGACAGAGGAGTGGGTGGAGAAGAGAGTGGCCTTCATTTCACTGAGGGAGTGGCTGATGTGATGAATGATGTGTGTTGTTGCACTTGCACTGGCACTTGCACTGGCACTGACACTTGCACTAGCACTGGCACTGGCACTGGCACTGGCACTGGCACTGGCACTGGCACTGGCACTGGCACTGGCACTGGCACTGGCACTGGCACTGGCACTGGCACTTGCACTCAGCAGCACCACAAGTTTGACGCTCCCATCATGCAAGTGCAAGCTTGATGCCATGTGCTGAATGAGGTCAAAATGGGTCACCGACTCTCGGTTACAATGTAGCAATGGGGAATGCCACCTGAGCATGTCATCAGAGGCAACATCCAGAATGCCACTTGAACCAGCAGAACGCTACCTGAACCAACAGATTGCCACCTGAACCAACAAAATGCCACCTGAACCAACAGATTGCCACCTGAACCAACGGAATGCCACCTGAACCAACAGATTGCCACCTGAACCAACAGAATGCCACCTGAACCAACAGAATGCCACCTTAACCAACAGATTGTCACCTGAACCAACAGAAGGCCACCTGAACCAACAAATTGCCACCTGAACCAACAGAAGGCCACCTGAACCAACAGATTGCCACTGAACCAACAGATTACTACCTGAACCAACAAATTGCCACCTCTGATCCTCTCGGATGTCACCTGAGCGAGCAGCTTTTAGAGTTGACTTATAATCACCTGCGCCAGAAGCACAGAGGCAGTCGTCTTCCCCGAGCCGCCCTTCCCCAGCACCATCACCATCCGCGCAGACTCTCCACTCCCCGCCTTGCCAGCCCCCCGCGTCGCCGCCGCCGCGCAAGCTACCCCGCGTTTTTTATTAGTACCCGCAGCATTTTGGGTACAAATCGTAGGAGTAACGGCAGTAGCTATTCTCTTATCCTCATTAGCGCTAGATAAATAGTGTTTCTTTCCTTCTGCGCTGGAATAAGACGCGGAAGGTTCTGATATCGAGGCGCGAGAAGTGCTGGCGTGGCGAGCTCCATGACGCGGAATTCGCGGAAGGGGGGAGTGCGAGAGGGGAGAGTTGAGGGTGAAAATGGCTTGCGGAAAAGACTGGCAGGAGGAGGGGTTGAAGCCGGGGAGAAAAGTTGAGCGATAGCAGGGAGCCGCGCCAGGAACTCCGCACATTGCGGTGGAGAATGTGACGGCCATGGCTGGTCTGCTGCGGAATTCGCCTCGGACCAGCTTTTGCCTGCCTGCTGCTGGTGTAGGAGATATGCTTATATGCGGTATATTTGAATGCACCGAAATGAGCCACACCGCATGAACCAGGCACATCTATAATGTCAAACATTTTAGCTTGAATACTGAGGGACAAATCCTAACTGTATTCTCCAGCTTCTATTCTCCCCTAAAAGATGTCGTGCGGAATCTACTAGAATCATCCATGTTATTTGCGTCAAGTTATTTCGTATTACCTTCTCCATTTACTGTGTATCCAATCGAGTGAATCATTATCGCGTTTTCCCTAACCCAGATTCTTCTAACCCAACCATTGTCAAGAGAGATCTGCTCTATCCCTGGTCCAGCCAGGCACCTCATTACGGCGATCGCGTTCGCGTTCCGCTAGCGCGGTCAGCGGAACGGAAGCTCGACTTTTGCTGCCTGCACCATCCTCCCCTCCCGCCTCCCCCTCTTCCCCGTTTCCCCCGCGTTCCCCCCTTTCCACAATCCACAACCCCGTCCCGCCAGATTGAGGCCACCCAAGCCACGCTTGAGCTAGCTCCAGCGCGAAACACCACATCATTTGAACCATTGTCTTGCAATCCTGTCCGTCCACCTCTAAAGGATCTAATCCTCGCCGTTCCCGACAGCATCCTCACCGTCATCACCCATCAGGGATGCCTGACCAACCAGACCAGACCTACCTGCCTGACGATTAGAAGTCAGCAGAGCTATGATTTGCATAGCAATTCGTTACTTCCATTCCAGCGATTAATGGGTCGTTAGTTTCTTCAACCCTCTTGCTGACTTATGGACAGGGAACGAGCTCTGATGTTGAGTTGCGTAAGCTCAGTCGTTCATAGCTGAAAGTCCTCCTTCGTCTCGGAATGGCTGAGCTCGAGGAGGCAGGAACTGGCATTGCTCTGACTCTCTATCCAATCACTTCCCTACAAATAGGGTAAGCAGTCTCCGGTTAACATTTTACCCGAGCTTCGGTCAGATAACGGTGTAGTGTGTGCTATTTAATTTCACTGGTCCGGATTCTATTCACCGCTTATCGTACACGATTCGCTTAGCGGTTAATATTCAAGAATGTATCCATTCGGTAGCCGTCGAGAATGCTCTTCTTGATCTCACAGCTGATTAGGGAGAAGCTGAAGCCCGGTGTTAGCTACTGCTGCTGGAATCCATGGTGCTGGTAGGCAGAAGACGTCCGTAAGGGTCCTTTCATGTAGTAACCTCTAATTTCACGATTGAGTAAACAAGAAACGGACGTCTAATGTCTACCACTCCTGCTGGATTCCATGGTGCTGGCAGGCGGAAGTCGTCGAAAGGGTCCATTCAAAACAGTAGCCGTTATTCTCAGGGTGGGAAAAGAAAAGAAAAGCTGACGTCAAATCTTATCATTGCTTCTGGAATTCGTGGTGTGCTGGCAGGCGGAAGACGTCGAAAGGGTCCATTCTGTCGGTGCACATCGCCAAGGAGGCCGGTCAGCTGGTCTTCTTCGTGAACAGCCCGTGGTGTCCCAAGCGCAGCAGCGGGAAAGATGCCGGACTATGGCAGCTGCTCTCCAAGGTCAGCCCGGATTCCACGGGAGCGGCAGAGGCCGCGTGATGAGAATGCTGGTTTTGGGCTCAAAACGAAAGCAGGAAACAGGGAATGAATTGTCCTCGCTGTACTGTTTTTCAGCAAATTCAGGGTGATCTCTCTGTCGCCTCATCTCCTACTTGATATCGTTCGTCGTATGTCCACCAACTTCACAGAATGATCCGTTTCGTTTGTCACTCAAATTCCAAGTCTCTTGCCCCTCCTCACCCGTGGATTTCTCCAGGCGCCGCGGTACGACTCGCCGTTCGCCAACAACAGCCTCATGGACCGCCTGCTGGGCGAGATCATGGCGCTCGAGGACTCCTTCTGCAGGTCAGTGGGGATGTAGAAGGATGTAGGTTGTGAGTCGAAGAGGTTTTAACCTTTTTTTTTTTCCGAGTTCATGGTGCTGGAGGACTCCTACTGCAGGTCAGTGGGACGATTCGAGCTGAATTGTAGAAGTAGCTAAGGTGTGAAGAGGCTCCAACGAATCAAATTGTTAGCAAGATCATGGCGCTGGAGGACTCCGTCTGCAGGTCAGTGGGACGACGTGAGCTGAATTGTAGAAGAATTTAGGCTGTTAAACGAAGAGGCTGTAACGAATCCAACTTCTGGGCGAGGGTGGAAGGCACGGGAGGGTCAAGCAGAGGCTGCTGCTGCTGCACACCTTCGATCACCACAAAGACCACCGCTTATTCATCCATTCCGCATGCTCCTTCTCTTCCTTATCCGTGTCATTTCATAGCAGGACTCCGAGATTAGGAAGTGGCAGCAGTGGTGGCGGAGGAGGCAGCATCGGCGCCATAAGCAGCAGCAGTGGGCGGCACAGGAGGGTGAAGTGGAGGTCGCTGGACGCCTTTGTGCGCCGCCTGCACGCCAGGCGCAGGGCGCTCTCACATCTGCACCCACCGCCGCACGGCCTCTGCGGCTGCGTCACCCTTGAAGTCAGCTGGAGCGATGTGCGCGGCCTCCGATACGAGAATGAACTGCAGGTGTGTTCCTGCACCCGCCCCCTCATCCCCTTGTAGCTGCGGCGTCAACCTTAGATTCAGCTGGAGCCATGTGCGTGGGCTTCGCTATGAGAACGAGCTGCAGGTTCCATGATTCTCCCCTGCTTCTGGTCTCTGTTTCGGTTCCCCGTTTGGAGCATTCTATTATGTTCTGCTCTGCTCGGTAGCAAGGCCTGGAGCCTAGCCACACCATCAGTTCCTTGCGTTTCACTGTGAGATTTTTCTCTCCGACCAACCCAAGACAAGACTACCCAAGCGTCTGGCAACCCAGCCTAGCCCAGTTTGCCCCAGCCTTAGCCCTCTACTTACTCCCTACCCTCCGCTCTGCAACCCTTACTCCTTCCTTCTGGCCAGGCGGAAGCCAATCTGGCGATGGAGGTCACACGAGTGGTGAAGCGCGAGTATGACTCGTTTGACCACGCCGTGCACTCACATGCCCTGCGCCTCTACCCCGCCACGCCCTCCCATGGAGCCACACCGTTGCCTGGGAACACTCCCCTGCAGGGGACCAACGCCTCCCACGCCTCTGTGCCTGCTGCCAGTTCACGTGTCTCCACTGGTCTGTGGATGGGCGGGAGGACGTTCAGTGGGAATCGGGCAGGACCAAAGTCTCCCCTTGGGGCTGCTGCTGCTGCTGCTGCTGCTGCCTGTGGCGGCGCTGGTGCTGCTGCTGGGAGTTTTGGAGCAGTGTACAGCACTCCTGCTAGCAGTTTCGCTGGAAGCAGCAGACTAGCTGCTGCTGCTGCTGCTGCTGATGCTGCTGCTGCTGCTGCTGCTGCTATTGCTGATGCTGGTGATTCTGCCCATGCTGGTGCAGCTCGTGCTGCTCCTTCCGGCGTTGATGCTGCTTGTGGCAGTGGCTTGTGGAGCAGGCAGGGCCAGATGTGCATCACCAGCCCCTTTGGCAGTCCGAGAGAAGCCTTTGGGAGCTCTCAAAAGCTAGCCAGAAAAGCGCTCTTTCACGAACCGCGGGCTCCGTGCTCTCCGGTACCTTTCAGGCTGCACCCTGCCGCTGATGCTACAGTTGCTCATGGTGATGCTGATGCTGCAACAAGGGAGGAGCTGGTGGCGTTTCAAAGCACACGAAGCAGGCTGTCAGACTCGCAGGTGCGTTAAGCATGCTGGATCCCTTCCCTGAGTGGAAGCGTAACGGCCTTATCATGCCCCCACACTCACTCCCTTGATTCCTTCTGTCTCTCTCCCTCACTCTCCCTCCCTTCCTCGTCCCCCAGACCCTCCCTCCCTGTTTCTGATACCCTTGCCCATTCTTCCTTATTCTTTTGTTTTTCCCTTCCTCGTCTCCTGTATTGTCCCAGCTGTGCAGCCCTCCACACCAAGAGCAGCAGCAGCAACGCCAGCAGCAGGCAGGCACAAGCCAGTCCAGTTCGGACCTGAACGCATGGATGAGCGACTCCAGTGAGAGGTTTTCAGAGGGGTGCAGTGAGGTGGGCTTGCTAGACGCTGATTTTGTTTTCCACGCCCAATCAGAGGGTGAGTGCTGTGATGATAGCAGAAGCCGGGAGGTGACGAATGGTGGAAATCCGGCAGAGGAGAGGATGCCGAAGGGAATGGTGCTTGGAAACGCACCTGCTTGGTTGTTAGAGAATGGGAGTGGTGGTGCCGCTGATGAGAGGGAGTCCTTTTTGAGTGGGGAGCCTAGCTATGCATCCTGCTGGGAACATGAGTTTCCACTGTACAGCGAGAGTCGATCCAGTGTACATGATGACGTGGAAGCAGATGGCGTGGAATCAAGTGCATGTGATTATATTGATGCAGAGCCACGTCATACCTCAGAAAGCTGGGAGGAGGTGGAGGCAAAGTCACCACCCAATGTACATGATGATATAGAGGCAGATGGGGTGGAATTGAGTGCGTGTGATTTTATCGATGCAGAGCCACATCACAGCCCAGAATGCTGGGAGGACGTGGAGGCGGAGTCACAGCCCAGTGGAGATGACGACGTGGAAGTGGTAGGGATGGTATCTAGTTGTATGCGTGGAGAGATGGAAGCAGTTGGGGTGGCATCCAGTGTACATGATGACGTGGAAGCAGACGGGATGGCATCGAGTGTCTATGATGACGTGGACCAGGATGAGGTAGTGTCGAGTGTGTATGAAGGGACGGAGGAAGAGGCGTGGGATAGTCCAGAGGGCTGGGAGGAGGTGGAGGCAGAATTTTTACAGACTCTTTGTGATGGCAGGGGCGCAGATGGGGAAGTGTCGAGCGAGTTTCACGAGATGGAAGCATATCCAATGGAAGCAGGGTCAGCAGAAGCAGATTCAGCACGGACTGTGCATGGCGGTGTGGAGCAAGGGCTGTTCCCCAGTATTCTCATTCCTCGCCGCCTCTTTGTGAGCACCAGCTGCTGCCGGAGCGAGGATGAGGATGCGTGTGGTGATGATGGTGATGATGGCAATGGTGATGTTGATAGTGACGAGTGTGGAGACACATACAGCTATGATGAGGACAAGGAGGAGGAAGGCGAGAGGAGGGTCGAAGCTTGCGATGACAGCTGCGGCAGTTGCAGTAGTGGGAGTGGTGGCGGTAGTGGCAGTAGTGGTGGTGATGGCAGTAGTGGTGGTGATGGTAGTGGTGCTGGTAGCTATGTTGATGAGATGGACAGCAGAAGCTATTGCTCTGATGATGATGGTGATGGTGACACTGAGAGTGACTGCCATGGCTATTGCTCTGACGATGGTGACGGTGACATTGAGACTGACAGCAGAAGCTACTGCTCCACCTCTTCCTCTGCCAAACAACACCAACACCAACGCCACCACCAACACCACCACCAACAACACGAACGACAGCATTTCACCTCTCCTTCCCGCACCCTCGCCACCCACCCTCACCCCTCCACCTTCCTCACCTCCCCCAGACCCCACCTCCCATCCCCCCACCAAACCCGCACCCCTCCCACTCACCTCACCTACCCCTCCACCCTCCTATCCTCTCCGAAACCCCTCCTCCCAGCCCTTCGCGCCCCTCCCACCACCATCACCTACCCAGACACCCTCCTCCTCTTCCGCTTCACCCACCCGCATCTCCCCGCCGCCCTTGCTGACGTCATCACCACAGACCAGCGCCTGCTCCACCAATTAGAATCCGGCCTGCCTGCGTGGGCCGTTTTCCTCCAATCCTGCGCCGGCCTCTCGGCCCTCTACCGCCCCTGGATGCGTCCTCTCGTCGCGTACGCGTGCTTTATAGTCTCCCTCGTTACAGTCCTCATTGGATTCTACGACCTGTATAAGAACATCCCGGTGCTACAGGAAATGCTGGCGCGGATGCTGGGGCCGATATGGTCAGTTGTAGGCACATGGGACATGGGAACAAGACTAAGATACCTGGGAACGATTCTCTTTCTGCAGAACTGGGAACGGGCATTCAAGTGGCTATCCTCCTCCTGGAAAGTCATCTCGCATGGGCTTTCCCTTCTCTCCTACCTCCTCTCTCTCCTCCTCCGTCCCTTCCAGCACCCCTGCTCGCTCCTCTCACACGCCTTCCTCCTCTGCCTCTCCAAACTCCTCTCCACCGCATGGAACCTCGTATCTGCCCTCAGGAAGCTGGTTACCAGCAGCGGCCGGTTCCTCAGCTACACCATGCGTCCCCTGTGGCTGCTGGGGCAGCACACACTTGTCCCCGTGTGGCAGTTACTGCAGGCGTGCTACCTGGCTGTATCCAGCACTGGAGTAGCCATATCCAACGGCTGTCTGCTGCTCTATAAGCTCCTCTCACAAGCCTACTGCTGCTCTGTGCTAAAGCTCGCTCATCTGCTGTCTTCACTGATATCTTCTCGTGTATCCTTCCTGTACAGCAACGGCTTGCTGCTGTATCGGCTCCTCGCGCAAGCATGCAGCAGCAGCGTGTGGAGAGTGTCTCAGCTGCTGTCTGCTCAGCTGTCGTTTGTGTATACTCAAGCTGTGCTGCTGGGCCGGCTGCTTGGGATGCTCCTTCACCCGCTGCTGCTCCTTGCTCGTACCCTCTGGGCCGTAGGTGAGTCTTTGAGAATTCTTCAAAGCGATCCCTTTGTGCTGTAGGTGATGAGTTGCACACACCGTGTTTGATAAAGGAGCCCTGTCAAATACAACACCACAGATTTTTTAGTCGACTCAAAAATCAACTCAAATACAACACCACAGATTTTTGAGTCGACTCAAAAATCAACTCAAATACAACACCACAGATTTTTGAGTCGACTAAAAAATCAACTCAAATACAACACCACAGATGAGGTGGGTTTGGGCCAGGCCAGCTGAGTAGTTAGTTGCCCCGTTCCTGTTGTCTCATCACACCATGTTTCGTTTACCTCATGCGCTGTGTTTCATTTGCTGCGTTTCATTCACGGTGTCTCATGCACAGTGTATCATTTTCCCTGCTCTCATGCACCTACCTCTGCCCTCTCATCTCTCTCTCGTGTCTCAATCCTACCATTTCTCACACTTACGCTGCACATTCTCACATCCTCATCTTTCACTCCTTCTGTCCCGCCATCTCTCCCTCCGTCTCACCCACCATGTCTCCCCACCGTTCTCCAGGTCGAGCCATCATCCTGCCCCTAGTCCAGTTCATCCACCTCCTCCTCACGCCTCTCCTCTCCGCCCTCCTCTCTCTCCTCAAGCTCCCCCTCCAGCTGCTCCGTCTGCTGCTGCAAATCTCCTCCTTCCTCTACTCCACCTTTTCTCACTCATTCTCGAACTCCCTCTCCCTCTCCCTCGCCTCCTCCCTCAAAGCCCTCTCCCTTCACTTGACACACCTCTCCAACACCCTCTTGCTTCACCTTGTGTACCTTTCCAAGACCCTCGTGCAACCAATCACATACTCCATAAAAGCCCTCTCTTTCACCTTCGCTTACGGATTTAAATCTGTGGCTAATACTTTCTCCTATATCTCCAAGGCTGTTACCTCTTCCCTGCGATTGGTCGGAGGGGCTCGAAAGCTAGGCTCGGCGACCAAGGCTGTGGGACAGCAGATCTCTGCTGCAGGTTCGGCAGTTGGGCAGGTTTCCGCAGCTGCAGGTTCAGCGGTGGCTCGGTCGCCGTCCTCCTCTCTGCTGCAGCTGTGGCATAACCTCTTCCAGAAGGTGGGGTTACCAGAGACAGTACGATCAATTTTGTTGCAAACTGCCCTTTTTCAAATTCTCGAAGAGCAGCTCCTCCATGCTGCAGCTGTGGCATAACCTCTTCCAGAAGGTGGGTTTACCAGAGACGGTAAGATCAATCCACTCATTCAGGTTGGGTGGAAGGCACTAGAACAATCAGTCAGTCCCTGAGTAGCTTAAAAGTTGCCGTCCTCTTCCCGAAGGTGGTATGACCAGAGACGTTGAAATCAGTTCACTGATTTGCACAGCGTTTCAGTCTATAAACATTCAGTGTACTATGGGTACGCTTTACGGTACCACGCAAAGGTTCCGGGCGAAGAAAATGGGGCATTTGAACGGTTTCTTTAGCCTGCTTCTATATTTCAGTGCTACCCTCCAACTCCCCCTCTTCTTTCCTCTCTCTATCTCCTGCTCTCTCTTCTCTGTCTCCCTCTCCCCCCTTTTCCGCTCTCCACAGCTGTTCCGAGCCTTCATGTGGATCTTCAAGGGCGTGGCGTGGGCCCCTTCGATGACCTTCTTGGCATCTGATTTCTCTATCTCTTCCTCTATCTTCACCTGTCTCCCACTCCCCCTCCCCCTTTCTCCCCTCTTCCCAGTTGTTCCGAGCCTTCATGTGGATCTTCAAGGGCGTGGGCTCCTTCGTAGCTGCTGCTAACAGACACCGCCTCAGGTATTGCCCTTGAATCAAATCCTATTTTGAGCCTAGTATGTGTTTTTTTTTCTTTCTTTCTTTCTTTCTTTCTTTCTTTCTTTTTTTCACTTCTCCCTGTCCCTCTCCCCCTCCCTCTCCCTCGCCCTCTCCCTCTCCCTCTCCCTCTCCCCTCTCTCTCCATCTCTCACGCTCTTGCTCTCGCCCTTGGTCTTTCTCATTTACACCCCTGCCTTCCTCCTCCCCCTCCACCCCCCCCCCATCATTCCCTCTCACTAGCACACTACACTATGTGCTGTCCCAGGCATGCACCCGACTCCCCCAGAGCATTCAGCACGCCCGACACATACATGGGAAGCTCAAAATTCCCCTGTATACCCTTGCCTCAATATTGGTGTTACTTTTGAGAATTCTCACAAGTAACTGTGCTCATAATGCCCATATATACCCCTGCCTCCACCCACTCTTCCTCCCCCGCTTCCCTCCCCACATGTCATCCGCACCAGCACGAGGCACTATGTGCTGTCCCAGGCGCGCAGGCTGCAAGCTCGGTCTCTCCAAGCTGCTCAGCACGCCCAGTCAACAGTGCTCAAGTATGGTCGCAAGCTGCTTGCTCCCCCTCGCATTACGACCGCTCCTCCAGAGATTCTAGTTGCTGCTCGACCAGGGGAGACTGCACGAGTGGGGAATCGTGAGGAGGAGGGGGGGCAGGGGGGAAGGGGAGGGGGAGTCTCAGGGGTTGTCGTCACTCGTGAAGGGGCTGAGGAGGAGCAGCAGGGGGGAAGAAGAGGGGGAGTCCCAGGGGTTGCTGTCAATCATGACGTGGCTGAGGAGGAGTTCTGGGATGCCCCAGAGAGCATCATCGATGGGGGACCTGAGGAGGGTTGTGAAGAGGATTCTGATTCCGAATGGGACAAGTTTGAGGAGGGAAGTGACTTTGAGGATAAGGGTGATGAGGAGGATGATGAGGATACAAAGGTTTCAGGAGATCACCAGGACGAGGAGGAGGACGAGGAGGGGGAGGAGGAGGAGGGGGGGGGAGGAGGAGGGGGTGTTTGAGGATGCTCGGAGCGATGCATTCGAAAACGCCTCTCATGGAGAGGCCTGAGATGATTAGGTATGGGTTATGATTAGGCATGGGATGCCATGATGGGCTCCTTTCTTAGGATGATTTTGTATTCCAAATTGCCTCGCATGGAGATGCCTCGGACAATAAGGTATGGGCTTCTGTCTGCAGGTTGCAGTTGTGGAAATAGTCGCGGCATTCGGAAGTGTGTATGGTGCTGCGCTTGCAATAATTCTGCCCTGGTGCAATCGTTTGTTCTCCCCCCCCCTGCGCCCCTTTCCTCCTCCACGATGCCTTATCCCACTTGCTCTTTCTGTTCATCTCCCCTGTTCCCACCCTCCTGTTTGGCAAACGTTGACCCTTCCTTTCCTCCCACCCTGGACAACCCCCCCCCCCCCCTTCATATTTTCTTGTATTCTTTTTTTGTTATTTTTTTATTTCTTTTAAGTCCGCCCTCGCCTCTTAGCTCAGTCGCAACCCAACACTGCAAACGTCATATGCTTCCATCCCTTCATCCTTCTCCCTCAATCCGTTGGGTCTACCTTTCCAAACTGAAATTTATTGTCTGCTTCCATACTTTCATTCCCCCCCCCCCCTTCCGCTCCCTGCTTTCACTCACCCCCATCCCTGTTCCCCTCGTCCTTCGTGTTTTCGTTATCGCTCTGGGTCAAATGATCCTCTGCGCAGGAAGAACTGTGCATGAAATTAGATCTCAACAGCTACAATTTTGAAGGCGTTCTGCTGATGTCGAGTTTGTACAATCAAGGTAGGAGGAACAGTTCAGTAAGCAACAATTGCATCACTTTCAAGTTTTTACCTTCTTGTGTACGGCCCTTCAATTATGCATCAATGTATTCATTTTTTCTGTCGTCGTCTTGCAGGTTTCAAGCCATAGCCAGAGTCCCTGGTGACAACAGAAGCAACCTCACAGTAGTATTGTCTCATCTTGGAGCATTTTGGACCTGGAAATTGGAAACAATGCTTCACGTCACAGCTAACACTACTGCATTTACACGGGCGTGTTATGTATGTAGTAAGCCTGAATGGTTGCCCTGACCGGCCAATTTGGTATTTGGAAACTCTTCGGGTATGTGCGATGCTTTATTAACCCATCTCGACTGTTGGTAAACCTTGCTGGTTGCCTCGACCGTTGCTCGGTTGCATCGAACAGTCACCTATGTGTGGGGTACACAACTGACTCTAAACTGTGTTTAGGTGAAACAAGCTTGTATGGTACGTTACCCCCGTTGTGTTATTGAGGGCGGGTCAAAAGAGTACGTCCGATTGCGGTTCAAAAAGGTTAAGGCTTGATCCAGAGCGGTCTATTTAAACACGACATGGTTGGGTAGGGGTTTTCTGCAAAAAACATGCAAAGTTTGACTCGCCCTGAGAATCATGCTGTACAGAACCGTAATGTTATAGCCGTCCTTCTCACTCACGCATCACAGTGGTGCTGGAAGTCGTGGCGGTGATACCAATCAGCAGTGGCCTCCATGGTCCAAGGAGGCACGCTGGTTCTGGTGGGTGGTCCAGCTGCCCAATTGAATCTGCCGTTTACAGGTCGCCGCGTGGACTCTCGGAGAAGCCGAACGAATGACGTCCAGATGCGTCGCTACGTTGTCAATCCCGTGATGTCCACGTCGGCCAATCGCATCCACAGCGTTCCACCGACGTGTCCACCCACCACGACGCAGTTTTCGCAGTTTGCGGTACTTTCCACGAAGCGAATCATTGGTGCACCGCTGGTGACGTTTTGCTTCGCAACGAAAGCAATGAAGCCAACCGCACTTCCCGAAGTTGGGGTTCGATTGGGGGGGGATCCAACTACCGCATCCGCCACCACCGAAGTGTCCCCCCCCCCAACTATCCACAGCCCGCCACGGATATCCGCCGACGACCTTCCGCTCTGCCACACGTGCAAAAATCTCAACTCGGACTCGCTATGTGCTCGTGCCGGACACTGGCTCCACCTCCTGGGCACGAGGTCTTGCTTTGTATACCGCGACACTTCAGCAGGCGTATGCTGACCTGGCTCTCTGTAACTCGCTGGAAAATATTCGCCTTGGCGGGAACCATGCCTTGAGCCTGCTTCTTGTCCCTCAAACACACCTTGACGGTGTGCCCTAAACGTGTTTCTGGAGAACCCCTTTCTGCCTCCTCGCCCTGTCCAGCTTGCTGAAACGTGTTTCCTTCATGGCTGCTTTTTCCTGGTGTGGTCCCAGCGCTGAGGCCATTCCGCCGCAGCGGGAAGCAATGGAGTCAAGAGAGTGGAGAGGTATGGTCAGGCTCCTAGGGTTTGCAGGAAAGCCATTCCATTATTCAGACTGCAGTAATCTTTGGATAGATAAGAGGTTGGCCTCCATACTTTCCATCATCCCAAGTGTCTTAGATTCACCTGCTTATTCACGCATTCTTCGCTCTACTTTCCAAATTACTTGGACCAGTGACCATGGCTGCCACCGCCACCCTACCACAATCCTCGTTCCTAGTCGGAGCTAAGAGCTCAGTATCGAGATCATGCAAGCTTTCACAGGTGTCCCTTCAATGTAAGAGAGGCTCGTTTCCGTCTGGATCGGAAGCTAAGTCAAGTGGTCGGAAACTGCCTGAAGTGCGAATGGAGAGTGCGTCCGTGTTGGCCTACCAAACCTCCAACGGCTCGGATCAAGTTGAGAGTTGGACTGACCCTTCCATGGTTTCCCCAGCTGTCACGCAACAGAAGATTGAATCATGGCTTCAACACTCCGCCGCTGATGTAAGCTTCGCGTAAACCATTGTTGTCGAATCATGTATGCTGGTTCCATCCCTGCGTATCTTGATTTGTGTGACCACATCAAAAGACTGAAACTAACCGTCCCGGTCCTTTTTTTCCCTCTTCCAGATTATTCGACATCTTGACGAGGCACCTTTTTTCCATCTCATATTCGATGGCGTCCGTGGCTTCCGATCTCCCGTTAGACAGCGGCTACCACGTGGTATTGTGGATCACGCTGACAGCTGGTCGTCCGTACGACAAGCAGTTCAAAACGACGATCCAGATGGTCTCATTTTAGTTCACCGGCTCGATGAGAGCGATCTTTCCAAGAGATACGGCCAGGAGTTGTCTGGAGAGCTAGAAGAGATGGCAACGCCGTCTAATCCCTGCCAGACGAATGTGTGGGGGTTGGTTGTGTTGGGAAGAGCAAGCCACCGGCATGCCTGCTACATACTGAAGACGATACGTTGCCCTGCGGCCTCGTCGCTATCTGCGACACGGTTTTCCATTACAAGGGCCAAGTGCTTTGGCGCTTCCGTGCACAAGCAGCTGGAGCAGGCATGGTTGAACAACTAGCTAGATCTGACACCCTGTTTTTGTTAGGTAGTGTAAGTATGTACATTTTAGCCATGATTATCTCCATACCCTAGGTTTCGTTCAGTGCTATGTCCACACTATCCTGTAATCCAATAGCGTAATTTTCTTTATTGTACACAGTTCGTTTGTAGTCCAAACTACTCAGTCCCTTTTCACAACTTCGGGCCGCGTCAATTTATCATTAGATGAGTGGATCGAAACGCATCCACTCCCGTGAAAATATTTTGCAGGAAGATCACTATAGAATCCGCAGCGTCAAGCTTCAATCAAAGCACCGTTTAGCTGAGTCAGATTCCCCCCTTCTGGTGGAAAATCATCCGGCGCCGTTCACGCTCCGTCGTGTCACGCTCCTCCCGTCGGCAATATAAACTCCGCGTGCGCCTCGGCCGTACATTGCATCCAATAGGTCGCAGGCAATCCGCGGTTCGCACCGGAATTTCCCTCCCCATTCCAACTGCAAAGCAAGCCAGCCCGAGACGTCACTCGAACATATCAATTCAGCTCCTAAGCCCATTTCCACATCAAACAGCTAAACTTGTCGAGCACACTTCATCCCGCGCTCTCTGCTTCACCTTCCGTGCTCCCGCAAGCCAGAATTCTTCCATACATCAGCTTCTCGGAGGCCTGTGTTAGCTAGCTCGCAGCTGTCACATCGCATCGCTCTACTCGGACGATCATGGCTCGCAGTGCAGCTCCTGCTGTAACCCTCATAGCACTCCTCGTCACAGGTGCGAACTGTTCATTTTTCCACTCATACTGCAGTATATACTTAGCGAATTATGATCGCTTCGCCGCTTTAATGCCTGCAGCTACAAATTGCCCTTTCGCTGATCTTCGTTGTTCTTTTCCTGGTTTTCTTTGGACATATAGTGATTCTTGCGCAAGGAATTGAAGCAAGGTATCTTCCCACCAGCTTTCTGCGGACCAACCTCAAGCCATCCGCAGCAACCGCCAAAGCAGCCACCGCAGCCTCAGCAGCTGTCGCAGCCGCAGCAAAATCAGCTGCGGCAGCAGCCCCGAACGTAAACATCAGCCCCGCATACCCCAACTCCTCTATCACCGACTTCGTCACGTCTCTCACGGAAAGCATCAACAACTTAGTCGCGAGCATCAACAGCAGCGCGACCGCCACCGAGGCCGCGCTCCGAGCACAGGTGTCTGCGTTAAATGCCAGCCTCAATGCGCTTAGCGACAGCCTCGCACACCTCAACTTTACGTTCGCCAGAGCGAATATCTCGTCGAACTGGATCACGTCGTCATCATCAGCTCCACTGCTGGCGGCCTTGAATTCTCAGCTGAATTCTCAACTTTCGGCCCTTGACGCAAAGCTGTCTGCCAAGGGCTTGAAGACGAGCATCGACGCGCTCGCGAAGGACCTCGCAGGGTTCGCGGCAATGCGGTCCGCAGGGACGCAACCGCTCGCGGCGGGGGCGCAACCCCTCTCGGCGGTTTCACCAAACGCGGCGGCCGGCGTGAGTGCCGCACATTTGGCGAGGCAGATGGCGGATCTGACGCAGCGTCTTGCGGGGATCAACGGGAACGTCAACGCGCTCGCGGGGATGGTGAACGTTGTTGCTAGCGGGGTTGCTAATGGCGTGAACGGGGTTCTCGGCGGCGGTGTGGACGGCAGCGTGGTGGCGAATCTCGCGAATCTTCTGCCCCAGCAGGCGGGCATGCTGCGTGCCGTGCTGACGTCATGCAACGGCCTGCTGTCTCTCCAGGCCGGCGCTGCTGACATTCAGATCCTCAAGATGTAAGTGACTCATGCTGACTCGCGTTGACTCGTGTTGATCCAAGGTCCAACAATACCCTCTCTGCACCAGGCTTTATCCTTGCATTTTGCTTTTCCACCGTTCTTTTAGCAAGCCAATGCTGGTTCAAACCTCCTTATCTCATTCTTTCTTTCTCCCATTCATCCTCTCTGCTGCCTGTTGCTTCGTCTCGTGCAGTGGCTCGGACTATCTGGTGACATACTACCTGTACGTAGCAGGAGTGACCAAGGCCCCAGACTCGCAGGCCATATTCAAGGGTAACCCTTGCAACACTGCTGCCACTGTGCCCCTCGCCCTGCCTGGCACGTGGGTGCCCATGAGCCCTGTGTCCTGGTCGCTGGCCAATGTCATGAGGGCATCTGCTGCTGACGTGGCGGATCTGTTGGCATCTCTTCAAACGGTCACCAATGATAGGCTATATCTGGGCTTCTTTGGGGCTGATGGAGCTCTCTCAGGGAAAATGATTGGGGGAAACTTCTGAAGGCAGGGCGATGGAAGGAACATTTCAGATGCATCATCCCTCTAGTAACCTGTTACGAGGTGATGCATCTTTCATGTTCCACCCAGCGTGCTAGAGAATGTGTATACAAGCATGACTAGATTTTTAGGTTGGGGCCAATGCCTTATCAATTTAAGTGCTTCAATGCATATTGAAGTGAAACAATCTGTTAGCAAAATTGCTTTGTTCATTCTCTATTGGGGAAGGTGTGCATTACAGAATGTCGATGTGCCCCTTTATGGGCCATCATCGCATCATGTCAGACTGTACGCGTGTCCGTGTGTTGGAAAAGGAAAGCCGAGTCCCCGTTTGGAACCCTTCATGTTTTGTTGCCTAGTGCCAACATTGTCCTCCTTCCCAACCTGTCCCGCTAGTGCCTGAACTAACTTACTACACACAAAGCCAGTGTGCTGTACTCCCCCTTTCCCCGTATAACCACTTTATACCGATCTGTAAAGTTCATCGTTGCATCACGCGCTAGGTGGTAGAGTGTACATCTGTATTGCACTGTACACTTCGCAGCTGTTTTCACTCATTCGAAGTCCTACCTCTATTGCACTCCCATTCCCAGCAAAGCAATTTAGGCGACTCGCCTAGTCTAATCTTGTGTGCATCATCAACTAGAACTTTTCGTAATACTGTTTCCGTACGATATCTACTGAACCATGCGCACCGCATCCCATTAGAAGGCCGCAAATGGCGCGCCATGCATCCCCCGCGTCGTTAACCCTAATCGCGCTCCTCGTCACAGGTGAAATCTCTTCAAACCCTGACCTTGTCCCTTCACGCCGCCTTTGCCGTCGCTTTCCTTGCCTGGAACCATGTTTTACTGTTCTTAAAAATTAAAAATTCCCTAGTTGTTTGCCTGGATGCTCGTTTCACTCGCAGTGTACTTCGTGTCAAAAACCGACGCGTTTTGCTTTTTTCTTCCCACCGACGACTTCTGTAACAAAGTCAAGGCAGGCGCACTAGCAGCAGCAAAAGCAGCCGCCGCCAAAGCCGCTGCAGCAGCCAACACCACCGAAGCAGGCGCCAAGAGACTCACCGCGTCCCTCAACTCCTCCGTCTCCTCTTTCGACTCATACATAACGAAGCAAGTTGCAAACCTCGAAAAGAGCATCAACAGCAGCACATCCGCTACTACGGCCGCCATAGAAGACCACTTATCTTCGTTTGATGCCAGCCTCGCTGATTTCTCCGACTGGCTGAACAACAGCATCAGCTTTACATCGACGGAAGCAGCAGACCATGCGCGTTCAGGGAAGGCAGCAGCAGCGGCGCCGTCGCCGTTAACCTCACAGCGTCTGGTGCTAGAATCAAGCATATCGAATTTGCGGTCGAGTATCCGCGTTTTAGACAGGGATCTCAAGCTGGCGGCGGGTGTAGGCAACTCGCAAGGATGGCGCGCGGGGCCTTCTGCCGTTGGGATGGTTCCAACAAGCGCAGCAGCCGGCGTGCGCGCCGAGTTGGTGAGGCAAAGGTTGTTGCGGCAAATGGCGGTTGTGGCGCGGAGGGCAGCGGAGGTCAATGCCGCCGTTGCTGCGTTTGCTGAGAAAATAAACAGCCTAAATGGTCAGAGGGTGCCCTAAACATTTCAGAGTGTGTGCAACTGGCGGAGGTTCAGAAAGATGGCTGCATTTGGGCGGGTTTCAGGGACTGGCTTCCGCTAGAATTTGGGCATGTATAATGGCATCAGTACTACTGGTCATTTAGGAAGTGCCAGCCAAGTGCGTTGGCGCATAGTCCAACAAGCAGCTGGAGCTTTTGGATTTTGTAGTGTTGAGTTGCCTCTACAATGTAGGAAGCTAGTCTCTTGTTTGTAGTATCTTGTTTGTAACTATGAACATTTCCTACAGATATTTCCGTTGGACATTCTGATAGGCTTTCTCTAGCTTGGAGGGGATCTGACTGGTGAGTTGGGCCAGGGCCCATATCACGCATCAACTCACAAGGCATGTCTGATACAATACTATGCAGCCTAATAATATGGTTTTTAAGATGAAATTGTACAACTTCGCGACTTTCAAACAAAAGAACAACGATTCATCAATGCAATTCGCTTGTCATTTTCGGTGCAATTCCGCCTGCCCATTCAACTGCATTCACCCTCCTCTGGGCAGCACCAGCCTCCGACCGACCGACCAACCTCCCTCGCTCACAGCACCGCTCCCAGCCACTCCGCGTGCGCCTCGGTGAGAGGAGATGAACCAATCAGACGCACACAATCCGCGGTCCGACCTGAAATGTCCGAAATTTCTTGCTTCACCGCACCAAAGCCTTGCAAATCCAAGGGCTCCACACAGTCACTCAAGAGGAGCATATAAATTGGACACCAGAAGAGATTTCGGCATCACCTCTCAAAACGCGAACAACCCAGCATTCCAGCACGATACATCCGAATGGTGAGTCACCATCCTCAGACACTGATATCGACGCCTCGTTTACTCATTCGTCGCACTCTCTGATCACAGCGATTTTCGTTTCGACATTGTTTTGAGAGCAGCGCCTGCCTGAGATCTCTTCAACCAGTTAGTAGAATTCAATCTTCAACTCGACAAGTAGTAGCTCAACAATCATTATGGCACGCACAGCAGCTCCTTCCACGCTACTCGGGCTTGTCGCTCTGGTCCTCACAGGTGAGCCACTTCGCCAAGCCGTGCTTTCAGCACCAATTTCAAGCACCTCTTCACGCGCTACACGTTAAGATCATGTCTGTCACGAAATTTCGGTTGCATTACGTCCTCCAAATCTCATAGCGTTTCCGTTTTTTTTTTTTTTCAATCAATCCAGTGCTTTTGGCAACACAACGAGTCGAAGCTGGCCGGTTTCTTCCCAGCGTCGGCAGTCTTCCCACCAACCCACTTCCACCCGGCTTGAATTCAGCCGTCGCGGCAGCAGCCGCAGCAGCCAGTAACCCCACAGCGACGCTCAAATCGACGCTCTCGGGCCTCCAATCGTCTCTCAACGGCCAGATCGGGTCTCTCGACGCGCTTCTTAAGAAATCGCTCGATCAAATCTCGGCGGCTCTCAAAACCAGCCCATCAGCTGCAGACGACGCGCTCCAGGCGCAGATATCCGCGCTAAAAGCAAATTTTGCTGCTTTAAACGACAGGCTCGTCAAGCTGAACGCTCTAAACATCTCAGGATCGGATTTGAACGTCACGGATTTGATTTCCTCCCAGATCTCCGGGAATCCAATCCAACATCTCCTCCATCAGCACCGGCATCATCGCAAAAATCCAGAACCCAATTTCGATAGGGCTTTTCTCGTTCAGCGAACGGTGGACCAAATCGCCATCTCGTTTAGTGGGTTAAAACCTACGAAACTGTATACAATGTGTTTTTGGTATATTTTTCGAACTCATAAACATGTGTAATATTATATTTTCAGAAATGTGTTTTACATCTGTGTAGAAATTTCTAGTCCTCTTTGACGTGCTTAAGTTGTTGCAAGTATTTTATGGCAAATTACTGTCTTTTCCGTGTATAATTCATGCATAGTTAAATATCATCTACTCGAACAAATAATCATTGAGTAAAAATGTGCCAGGACGCTTAAATGACTCGACAATGTGGACAGCACGGAACACCGAGTCCACTTCCACGACATCCCGGTGCAAGTTTCGAGAACGTGGGTACTTGGCCCATTCTAGGCGCTTGCAACCTGTCGCATCGTCGTTACCAACCACCTTGTAGTACTGGACGTAGGCGAACCCTTTCTTGCTTTGTGCGTGCTTAAAAAGAAGAAGCACCTCTGCATACCATACCTCCTCCCCACCACTAATGGCCACATGAGAGAACCACGGGTTGCCGTGGTGCGATGGGTTTGCACGAATAAAATGAGTGACCCTGGAATTGTACTCCTCAGAGCCGGCGGGAATGGCCACGCCTGTGTAGACCTGGAGGCATTTGGAGGTCGTGTGGGCAGAACGGAAAGGAAAATGTGCAGAACAGGAGGGGGAGAAGAGTGAGTATGGCAGGCCTGAGAGGAGACGAACGTGGAGAGGGAGGTATGGGGGATGAAAGTGAGGGTTGCAGGGCAAACAGGAGCGGATGAAAGTGAGGATGGCCAGAGGGTGGAGGGAAGTGTGAGGGGTGGGGGTGGGGGATGTATGTGAGAGTAGCAGTCCAGAGACGAGAGGGAAGTGTGAGGGAGTGGAGGATGAATGTGGCATAGCAGTCCAGAGAGGAGAAGGACGTGTGAGGGAGTGGGGGATGAATGTGGCATATCAGTCCAGAGAGGAGAGGGACGTGTGAGGGAGTGGGGGATGAATGCGGCATAGCAGTCCAGAGAGGAGAGGGACGTGTGAGGGAGTGGGGGATGAATGCGGCATAGCAGTCCAGAGAGGAGAGGGACGTGTGAGGGAGTGGGGGATGAATGCGGCATAGCAGTCCAGAGAGGAGAGGGACGTGTGAGGGAGTGGGGGATGAATGCGGCATAGCAGTCCAGAGAGGAGAGGGACGTGTGAGGGAGTGGGGGATGAATGTGGCATAGCAGTCCAGAGAGGAGAGGGACGTGTGAGGGAGTGGGGGATGAATGTGGCACAGCAGTCCAGAGAGGAGAGGGACGTGTGAGGGGTGATGATGGGTGATGAGATTGACGGTTGCAGGCCAGAGAGGAGAGGTACAATTCGGAGGAGGGGGGGATGTGTGGTATAAGAGCGAGGATTTTTAGGTCCAAGCGTGAGAGGGAATGTTGAGGAGAGGGTTGAGGTAGGAAGGCCTTTTAAAAGCAGTAACTGTCATGGGATGGTAATCCAAGTGAACACAACATGTGAGCTTACATGGAGGGTTGGGGACGTGATGCCGGCCGTTTTGAGGTCCTCCTGCAAGGTATCCAGGCGGCCTCCCAGTGCTGAGTTGTACAGTGCAAACTGGTCTGTGCTGCTTCGGCGATACGTGCTACCAGCCATGTGCATGACCACATGGGTCCTCAAAAAAATGCGCTGCCCGGTTGTTTCCGCCTGAAAGATACAAGGGAAAACAGCATAAACAGCGGACAGGGTGTTGTTTAAGCAAGAAAGATAACAACAAATTTCTGACAAAAGGATCAGTACCCAAAGCATACCTCGTAGAAGGCACAATTGTAGTCGCGCTCCTCATGGATATCACTTTCCACCTGTGCTAGCATGGATAGGAATTGATTACTTTTAACTATCGACTCGGTCCATTGGCGGCGGTTTGAGGCGCGGTACGGTCTTTTCACTGTGACTTTGTGAAAATGCTCATACATATTTGTTGAGTACTCCTCAGGCAACCCCCCCCTTCGAATCGCATCAGAATAGTGCACCACCATGTGCACTTTCACAACCTTCCAGGCAGATGCCTGGGTAGGAAACGCCTCTTTCAGTTTTGTGATCATCCTGGGGCAGTGGAGGGAGGAGGGGGGTAGGAAAGAAGTCAGGGCACGTGCAGAAGACCTGAGAATCAAGGTAGGATGAGTAGTTCTGCCAGGAATCAAGGTCAGCTCAAAGGGAGAAGGGCAGCTCAAAGTGATAAGTGCAGCTCAAAGTGAGAAGGGCAGCTCATAGTGAGAAAGGCAGCTCATAGTGAGAAAGGCAGCTCATAGTGAGAAAGGCAGCTCCAAGTGAGAAAGGCAGCTCATAGTGAGAAAGGCAGCTCCAAGTGAGAAAGGCAGCTCATAGTGAGAAAGGCAGCTCCAAGTGAGAAAGACAGCTCCAAGTGAGAAAGGCAGCTCCAAGTGAGAAGGGCAGCTCATAGTGAGAAAGGCAGCTCCAAGTGAGAAAGGCAGCTCATAGTGAGAAAGGCAGCTCATAGTGAGAAAGGCAGCTCATAGTGAGAAAGGCAGCTCCAAGTGAGAAGGGCAGCTCATAGTGACATGGAAGCGGACAAAGGGGAAACAAAAGTCCCACCTATGCGCAAGGAGATCCACTTTGGCAAGACTTTCGTCAGTGTGATAGCGCGGGCGGAAGGTGGCCTTGTACCAGCGCAAGAATGCCTGCACCGCGTCCAGATGCACTTTATCAACAAGCCCTTCTAAAATGAAGATTGCCACTTGCATCACTGCACGGTGTTCAGCAGCAGAGACGCGAGCTCCGGATTGGAAATACGTCCCTGGAACGGGCAGATTCAGGCCGGCTATCCGCCCATGCTTCCATAGCCACTTCATCCTCCTGTATGTGGTTGTATGGCAGGAAGGGCAGAGGCAAAAAAAGCAAACAAAGTAGCAAGATCGGTTTGGTGGCTTGTGGGCTTTTGCCATACAAGGGTGAAGGAAAGGCAGGTTAGCAATCAGAGGGCAGATTCAGGGCAAGGCAAGGGAGATAGCAATCTGAGGGCAGATTCAGGGCAAGGCAAGGGAGATAGCAATCTGAGGGCAGATTCAGGGCAAGGCAAGGGAGATAGCAATCTGCGGGCAGATTCAGGGCAAGGCAAGGGAGATAGCAATCTGAGGGCAGATTCAGGGCAAGGCAAGGGATAGCAATCTGAGGGCAGATTCAGGGCAAGGCAAGGGATAGCAATCTGAGGGCAGATTCAGGGCAAGGCAAGGGATAGCAATCTGAGGGCAGATTCAGGGCAAGACAATGGAGATAGCAATCTGAGGGCAGATTCAGGGCAAGGCAAGGGATAGCAATCTGAGGGCAGATTCAGGGCAAGGCAATGGAAGCACTAACTCGTCTAGCTTGCCGTTCTTTGCGTTGTCGAGTGTAGCTATGGCGTCACGAATGTGCATCCACACCCCAACGTCCGCCTGGTGAAGGACATCAGGCATGAGCGCCAGGTATGGGTTACCCCATGGTGTGTCGGCGTATTTGAAGTCCCAAATGAATGTCTGCAGTGGGGTTTGGGTTACTTGGTCAGGTATAAACTTGTAAAACATAGTATAATGACAAACACACAGTTTTAAAAAGGCAATGAACGTACGTGGAAAGGGAATGAGGCCCACAGCGCGGCATAATCCTTAGCCAAAGTCTTCCCTGCTTGGTATAACATCTTGTATTTATCCATCAGAAACCGTTGCTCCTTTGGGTTCCTCGACTTGAACTTTTTGGTCAGGTTGTCGCACTCGGCACCCAACGCGTAACACATCGAGCACGGCCGGTTGCTACCGTGCTGGAATGTGCTTGTCACCTTGCAGCTTTCTGGGTAGTCGCAAGGATAGCTATAGAATAACGGCCTCACAAGGCGTTTGACCCCTGATGGGTCAGACCACACACAACTCACTTCACTGCAGGGAGGCAAAAGACTTTGTCAATGTACTGGGCTACAGAGACCAATGCAAATCCATGGTCTGCAGTTCAAAACTGACCTGTTGCTGGCATCGATGAGTGGCTGGAGGACGATCTGCATGCACTTCAAGAACAGCTCTGTCTTGACGTTGCCTTTCCATTTCGAATGAGGCAGGGGCAGCATTGCCACCATCTGCTTCGCACTCGTTTTCCAGCGATGTTCAACAGCAATATTCCCGAGTGAGAGGACAACGGGCCAGACCTTCTGTGTGTCGTTTTTGCTTAGTTGAGTGACGTCCGAGTACACTATGAGCGCAGCAATGACCTCTTCCTTGATACGCAGTGCCTTCTGCCATATTTACAAGACAAATTAAAGTGGCAGTAGAGACAACATAGATGGTGTTTAGCTCACCTATCACCCCGACCCTCCCTACACACTCACATCCGAGCTCTCCTATCACTCTGATCCTCCCTACACACTCACATCCGAGCTCACCTATCACTCTGACCTTCCCTACACACTCACATCCGAGCTCACCTATCACTCTGACCTTCCCTACACACTCACATCCGAGCTCACCTATCACTCTGACCCTCCCTACACAGTCACATCCGAGCTCACCTATCACTCTGACCCTCCCTACACACTCACATCCGAGCTCACCTATCACTCTGACCCTCCCTACACACCCACATCCGAGCTCTCCTATCACCCCGACCCTCCCTACACACTCACATCCGAGCTCTCCTATCACTCTGATCCTCCCTACACACTCACATCCGAGCTCACCTATCACTCTGACCTTCCCTACACACTCACATCCGAGCTCACCTATCACTCTGACCTTCCCTACACAGTCACATCCGAGCTCACCTATCACTCTGACCCTCCCTACACAGTCACATCCGAGCTCACCTATCACTCTGACCCTCCCTACACACCCACATCCGAGCTCTCCTATCACCCCGACCCTCCCTACACACTCACATCCGAGCTCTCCTATCACTCTGATCCTCCCTACACACTCACATCCGAGCTCACCTATCACTCTGACCTTCCCCACACACTCACATCCGAGCTCACCTATCACTCTGACCCTCCCTACACAGTCACATCCGAGCTCACCTATCACTCTGACCCTCCCTACACAGTCACATCCGAGCTCACCTATCACTCTGACCCTCCCTACACACTCACATCCGAGCTCACCTATCACTCTGACCCTCCCTACACAGTCACATCCGAGCTCTCCTATCACCCCGACCCTCCCTACACACTCACATCCGAGCTCTCCTATCACTCTGATCCTCCCTACACACTCACATCCGAGCTCACCTATCACTCTGACCTTCCCTACACACTCACATCCGAGCTCACCTATCACTCTGACCTTCCCTACACACTCACATCCGAGCTCACCTATCACTCTGACCCTCCCTACACAGTCACATCCGAGCTCACCTATCACTCTGACCCTCCCTACACACTCACATCCGAGCTCACCTATCACTCTGACCCTCCCTACACACCCACATCCGAGCTCTCCTATCACCCCGACCCTCCCTACACACTCACATCCGAGCTCTCCTATCACTCTGATCCTCCCTACACACTCACATCCGAGCTCACCTATCACTCTGACCTTCCCTACACACTCACATCCGAGCTCACCTATCACTCTGACCCTCCCTACACAGTCACCTCCGAGCTCACCTATCACTCTGACCCTCCCTACACAGTCACATCCGAGCTCACCTATCACTCTGACCCTCCCTACACACTCACATCCGAGCTCACCTATCACTCTGACCCTCCCTACACAGTCACATCCGAGCTCTCCTATCACCCCGACCCTCCCTACACACTCACATCCGAGCTCTCCTATCACTCTGATCCTCCCTACACACTCACATCCGAGCTCACCTATCACTCTGACCTTCCCTACACACTCACATCCGAGCTCACCTATCACTCTGACCTTCCCTACACACTCACATCCGAGCTCACCTATCACTCTGACCCTCCCTACACACTCACATCCGAGCTCACCTAACCCTGTTACAGCCCTTGCCATCGCCGACCACTCACCTGGGCTTCGAGCCACCAGTTGCAATGTTGGGGGCGTGTATAAATCCTCTTGTTGTTGCGTATCTTTATGCTCGGGTACAGTGCGAATCCTTTTTGGTTGCACCGGTCTTCAAAAATCGCCTGCACCACCTGGAAAACACGTAAAACGAAAAACGATCGTTAAATCACCACCAAATAGATTCTCTGTAGTGAAAGAGCATCACTCCCCGTGACTTACCTTGAGAGTGTCCGTGTATTTCAAGGGCACATAGACGGGTCGGCCATTCTCCAACACCCCTGGGACCTCGACCATTGTCGTCTTCCACTCGGGCGCTTTCGAGCCCCACTTGTCCGCAGCCCACTTTTGCGCATCTTTTATGCTCCGCCAGCCTTGGAGATCCTCGGAGTTGAAGCCCGGGTGGCATACGACCCGCAAAAACCGCTTGCTCTCTTCAACGGTCATGCCCTGCCCTTCACGGAAGCTTTGCATCAGTAACAGCAGCTCTTTTCGTGTGTCAAAGATTCCAGGCCCCCAATCGAAGTCAATCGGCTCTTGAGAGGCGTCGGGCTGAAAGGCGATTTGCTCGTGCTCATTCGTTGGCGCATCAAAGTGTGGCGCGGTAGTGTGAGCTTCTTGTGCGGGGCTTGTAGGAACTGCCGGATCGTCAATCCGCCTACGCTTGTGATGATGGCATGCGGGTGGCGGATCCTTGTGAATCTGTCCATCTTCGGTAGCCTTCAACGGGCCGTTCTCATAGCCCTCGTCACGAAGGCGAGCTTGATGTAGCCTACACTCTACGTTGTTGGTCTGATGAGACTTCAGAGCACGGTGCGTCTGGAAGAGTGCTGCGCACCACGCACACAGGATAAGTGATAACATCACTAAATAACGTGCTCTCGGAGTTGCTGCCATAACAAAGGCAAATCTGAAGCCGTCGACGGCTTCCTATCCCGCAAAATCTGAGAAAGGGACTGCGGAAATGAAGGCGTTGTAAGCCTACGCGGCTTTTATGAGGATCGATCGACATGCTGTGCAGTAGAAGCGAATAGAGACTACAGAGCGTCAAATCACTAGCGATCGTTCTTCCAAGTGCACGACCCTTGGCGTCTTGGCGGTCGAAATCCTGCTAGTGCGCTTCGCGGCAAATCGTAACAGATCGTGCCTCATCGGTCGAAACTTGTACCTGTTGTGTGAGGCACGAACTTCGTGTGTTCAAACCTTTGATCTCGCTCCGTTATAAGTTTTACACTGGTTGTTTCAAAAACTCACTAAATAAAAGAGCCAGGAAATCGATAACTCACATCTTTACATTCCATTCCACAACTATTTGCACGAAACAATTCAACTTATCAGAGGTGTTTCCATGTAGTCTCGCAAACCCAATACCCTCGAAAAAAAATCACAGGTGTGCTCGCAATACCCAATACCTTGTCGTCGTCGTCGTCGTTGCCGTCGTAGTCGCCCTTGTCGTCCTTGTCGTTCTTGTCGTCGTCGTTGCCGTCAGTGCCGTTGGTGCTCTTGCTGCTGTTGATGTTGCTGCTGCTGCTGTTGCTGCTGTTGTTGTTATTGTTGTCCTTCTCGTCCTTGTCGTCGTTGCCGTCGTTGTTGTCGGTGTTGTCGTTGGCACAGTTGTTGTTGCTGCTGCTGCTGCTGCTGCTGCTGCTGCTGCTGCTGCTGTTGTTGATGTTGTTGCTGTAGTTGTGGTTGTTGTGGCCGTTGTTGATGTTGTTGTGGATGTTGTTGGTGTTGTTGTGGATGTTATTGTTGTTCTTGCTGTTGCTATTGTTGTCGTTGTCGTCGTCGTCGTCGTTGCCGTCGTAGTTGCCCTTGTCGTCCTTGTCGTTCTTGTCGTCGTCGTTGCCATTCGTGCCGTTGGTGCTCTTGCTGCTGTTGATGTTGCTGCTGCTGCTGCTGCTGTTGCTGCTGTTGTTGTTATTGTTGTCCTTGTCGTCCTTGTCGTCGTTGCCGTCGTTGTTGTCGGTGTTCTTGTTGGCACAGTTGTTGTTGCTGCTGCTGCTGCTGTTGTTGATGTTGTTGCTGTAGTTGTGGTTGTTGTGGCCGTTGTTGATGTTGTTGTGGATGTTGTTGCTGTTGTTGTTGCTGTTGTTGTGGATGTTATTGTTGTTCTTGCTGTTGCTATTGTTGTCGTTGTCGTCGTCGTCGTCGCCCTTGTCGTCCTTGTCGTCGTCGTTGTCGGTGTTGTCGTTGGTGCAGCTGTTGTTGTTGCTGCTACTGCTGATGCTGTTGCTGGTGGTGCTGCTGCTGGTGCTGCTGCTGGTTCTGCTGTTGTTGTTGATGATGTTGTTGCTGTAGTTATGGTTGTTGTGGTTGTTGTTGATGTTGTTGTAGATGTTGTTGCTGTTGTTGTTGTTGCTGTTGTTGTGGCTACTATTGTTGTTCTTGCTGTTGCTATTGTTGTCGTTGTCGTCGTCGTCGTCGTCTTCGCCCTTGTCGTCCTTGTCGTCGTCGTTGTCGGTGTTGTCGTTGTTGCAGTTGTTGCTGTTGCTGGTGCTGCTGATGCTGTTGCTGGTGTCAGAACATCATAGCTTACTCATTTCTGTAGGCTATAGTGGGGTATCCCATAGGGGGTACAACCCAATTAGGGTTTCATATTTGTACTCACTTCATTTCATATTCATTCATTCACGTTCCTTTCTTCACAGCTGGTGCTGCTGCTGCTTGTGCTGCTGTTGGTGCTGCTCCTGTTGTTGCTGATGTTGTTGCTGTAGTTTTGGTTGTTGTGGCTGTTGTTGATGTTGTTGTAGATGTTGTTGCTGTTGTTGTTGCTGTTGTTGTGGCTGTTATTGTTGTTCTTGCTGTTGCTATTGTTGTCGTTGTCGTCGTCGTCGTCGTCGCCCGTGTCGTCCTTGTCGTCGTTGTCGTCATTCTTAAAACGGCTCACAAAAAATATTTTGCATCATTTTTAGCACATATTTTTCGAACATGTACACCATGAAGGAAGCTTACCAACTCTTAGCACCAACTGTGGCTTGTGCAGCTGTGAATGACACAGTTGATAATTGTGGTTTTCCAAATAAATGCAACAAATGTGAATTCATATCCAGTTGCTGTGTACTAGATCAGTTGCTAATTTGTCATTGAATTTATCACCATAAAGCGAGGGTCAGACGTTGATTCCGTAAATACACCCCACATGACGGTGGAGGTAGTGAGCGACTCCTGCCGTGCACAGCTGGAACATTTGTCGTTATTCATGTTGCGACAAAGTTCGAAAGTGGCGGAATTGAACAGCACATGGCCTGGTTGGGCATGTTGCCATTTCGTCCTCACTGTACACCTGGTCCAATTTTGCCGAAGACAGCAACATCCATGTCGACCCTCACCTCCTATTCGCGGAATCACAAGTTTCCTGGCAACACAACGAATGAGTGACCATCTGGACGCGAACGAACTAGGCACAGTAACCACTTCTTGAGATGTGTGGTTGCGATTAGGGCGGAGTGCATCAAGCGATCCTTGCTATAAGTTTTGTCCGATGTGTAAGGGTATTACTGTACACCTGCTGCACCACAGCCACTTGGTCATGCCGACCAAACAACCCTATACCAGACTGATCCCACAGCTTGCGATCCACTTCAATCAGGCGTTGATGGTGCACCGGGTGCACGTCGATCCTTCTCGCAATTTTTTTTCTATCGTCCAGCGACGCAGCGAAATGACAACGAGAATAAAACGAACGAATTACAAAGTCAGCCGCGAAAAAACACTGCAGTGGCGACCCCCGACCGCATCCATTGGTGCTTGGGGATCGCGACTGCAAAATTGCACATCCCTTGATACACCCCGCCCTTACACTTCCCCACAGATCATCCTCGTAGCCTCGTAACTGCTCCTTTCCCACCTTGACTAGCTTAGAAGGTTACGATTTGTTGTTGCCAACTGATCGTGCGGACCATACATCGTCTTCTTCATTCGAATGTTCAAACTAAGGCAATTCAAACACTCAAACAATCGCCTCTACTGATAGTTAGAGCACGGAGGAGGACTTGGCTTTGTTTCCTCACTTCCCAGCTCCTCCTGAAGCTCTCGCGCCAAACTGTAGTTTACATTTGGCGCCAACACTGGAGGCTTACAAACCAGACGTTTCTCTGAATTGTGATTAGCTCGTATATTGACAAGATGTCGAACCTATTCCATGCCCAGACTTTCTCAACAGATAGCAGTGCTCGTAGCAGGTGGCGTTTTCAGCTGCCTAGGCTCTCAATCACCTGCTAGCAGAACATCAATACACCTGCCAAGCGCCGCCGATCACCTGCCCAACCATGCATTTCACCTGCCCAAATGTAGTGCTCACCTGCCCTTTGGCGCCAATCAACTGCGCTTGTAGGAGCTTCAATCTAATCGCCCAGCTTAACTACTACTTAAGTCACAACTCGCTGGGCATTATTATCATATTCATCCGTCTCCTAGTTCCTATCTTCCTCGGTACGGTCTTCACCACCTCCAGAACTATGGCTACTGTCCTTGCTGTCCGGAGCGAGGTGACAGGCAAGCGCCCCATCAAGCTGACCCCGAAGATGCAGGGAGCTGGGGGTCTTGGTACCCGCTTGAGTGGCGGTGTCAAGAAGCGCAAGGCTGTTGGCGGCCGACTGATCACGAAAGCGCGCAAGGATGGCGCTTCTGAGCACGTCGATGACAACGATGATGTCGACGATGTTGCGGGCAACACCGGCATTGACAATGCCTCTGCTGCCGCAGCTGACCCGTCTAGCGGTGCTGGTGATGCCGCTCCCTTGGGGGTTCAAGTCCATGCTGACGACTTCAGTGATGAGGAGCATGATGAGGAAGAGGAACGCACGAAGCTGCAGACGGAAAAGCAAGGTAAGAGCTCTTGAAATTTTCTTGCCCTGTTCTTTGGAACTTGTGTTGTGCTTGTATTCCAGATCTTCTCTTGTGCTTGTATCCCAGTTTTAACCGTAACGCTCATTTCCTGTGCCGCAGGGGACGGGCGACAGGACACGCTGAACAACATCACCGAGCGTGATGGGGCGTCGCTTCCCTCTCAAAGTCCTGCTGGGAGCCCCCTGGAGGGTGTTGCCGCGGCATCTGACCAGGCTGCTAACGGGCGGCTTGCTGAGTTGGAGCGAACCACGCAGCAGCAGTCACAGCTGATTTCGTCGCTTTTGTT